CCTTAAACAAATTTAGAGGATGTATTGAAGGGGCAGAAATTACAGTGGCATCTGACCATCAACCGTTAAAGTGGCTGATGAATTTAACATCACCAACCGGAAGATTAGCCCGCGCGATGGGCACTTCAAATACAATCTTACAATCTGAAGATTGACTATTTTCCAGGGAAATGCAATTTTATTGCAGATATGCTTTCCAGGCCAGAGTATAGAGATGAAGAAATTTGCGAATTAAAAACTATAATTATTGATTTCCCGACGAGAACTGCTAATGAGCTAAGAACAGAACAATTGAAGGACCTTGAGCTAAAAAAGATAGTTGATTGTTTTGAAAATCCCAACAAGGGAGTTGACTTTGCCAATTGGACTGGGAGAGGGTACGTGATGAATCAGGGAGTACTGTACCGGTACTCACCTCATGCTGAAGTTGAAGAAGCTCAACTAGTTGTCCCTACTCATGAGAGAGAGAAGATATTAAAATTGCATCATGATGCTCCCACCGCTGCACATTACGGTGCTGATGGTACCTTTTCCAGAATTTCCTCGAAATATTACTGGACTGGTATGAGGAAATTTATTGCTGATTATGTGAAGAGCTGTTCAGAATGCATTAGATACAAAGCCACTAATCAGAAACCTGCAGGTCTTCTGCAGACCCCTGTTCCAGCTCAACGATTTGAGAGCATAGCTATTGATCTTTTTGGTCCCTTACCAGAAACGACCGAAGGTATGAAGTGGATTTTCATAGTGGAGGATTACACAACAAAATGGGTAGAGTTATTCCCATTAAAGCAAGCTACTGCTAAAGAATGTGCCATGACACTTCTAAATGAAGTCTTCCTAAGAGATACGGAGTGCCCCGTAGACTAATAAGTGACAATGGGACTCAATTCGTGAGTGCGGTGATGCAACAGTTATGTTTTGTCTTGGATATCAATCAAAGTCTCATTCCCGTATATCACCCACAGGCAAATCCAGTCGAAAGGAAAAATAGGGATTTGAAACCTCGTTTGGCAATGATGGTAGTTAACAACCATACATTATGGATTGAAAAGCTACCAGCTATTAGGTTTGTACTGAATACTTCAAAATGTGAGTCAACAGATCACACGGCAGCATACCTAACCTTCGCCAGAGAACTACGAACTTTGGACCAAGTAAATACTGATCTACGGTCCGTCATCCATAACGATAATTTTGTACCTGAATTTACACCCTATTTAAAACGTTTTGAAGGATACATGTCACAAATTAAAGAAAACATTGAGATGAGTCAAGATCGTCAAAAAACATATGCAGATAAATCACGCAGACCAAGTCCTAACTATAAAGTTAATGATCTGGTATGGGTAAAACTTCACCCTTTAAGTAAAGCGAGTCAGAACAGGAGTGCAAAACTCATGCCTAGGAGAGACGGGCCGTACATTGTGCTATCCCAGAGATCTCCCACTACCTTTGTAGTAGCCAGTTGTGACAAACCTGACGAACCTTTAGGTGTCTACCATACATCAGCTTTAACACCCTTTCTGAATGGCACAGAGACCCAGAGTCTCCTGTAGTACCTCTCAAGAAAAGAGGAAGGCCACGCAAACAGCCATTGGCTCCTAGAGGGACAGCCGGAAAGAATGCCATAATGTCTGCTAGTACACCCCTCGCCGAGACGGTCTTCGGCGGTGTAGGGGGAGAATGTAACAACTACATTTAAACTCTGCCTTCCCTTGATGATTAGTGGCAGCCAGGGGGGCACCACCTGTTCTTTAGAGAAGCGGGAACTCGTTCCCCTCGCTCTTCGGCTCTGGATCGCTACCGGGGAAAGATGTGTACACGTGGAGTCAGGGAAAGCCTGTTTTCCTCCTTTTAGTCCTTAAGCCATTTTCTGTAACGATAATGGATGTGTGTTGTTTTGTTGTTTTATTTAAGTGACCCCTTGTGTTGTGGAACTTAAGAACATTAAACAGTATTTGTTCCAGTAATGAAAAGGCTTCTTCATTTCAACACAATGAATACACGACATGGGGGATTGTCATAATTTAATGTATTTCATTGATATTTACTATTAGATATTATTGTTAATTTCAAATAACTGTAAAGGATTCTCAAACTCACAAACCAAATTTTAAACAAAGAGTTGCAAAATTATCTTGGATCTTAAACATTCAAAAAATAAGTTTTTGGGAATTTTTTTTAAAAAAATTTACCAAGTTTTTCGATAACTTTTAAATATTTTTAATGAGTTCTATATTATACACTTTTAAAATTATGAATGTGAATAACAACAATTTTTTTCGAAAGGCCACTACCTTTCTAAGTAATTTAAGTGTTAATTTATAGATCCTATTAAAATATACAGGAAAATATTTAAATTTGTTTTTTAACAACATGAATGTTTCGAACTCTCAGGCACCAAGAGGCAGTACAAATATATTTTATTTTCCTGGGAACAAAGCAAATTCGATTCTCGCTATTAACTAAACAAACTGTTGATTGTTGGAAAGCTGATACATTCCCTACATATCAGGCTGAAAGAAGTACACAGTCACTTTTGAAATAATAAAATAAAATATTTATTTTCCAAAATAAAAACATGAAAATAGTCAGTTGTAATTATTGTTTACAGAAAAATATTCATTATATAGTCCCGTTTCTGAAAATACGACTAAAAATTATTCAAATTACTTTTTTAAAAAAAAATAAAAAATGTTATATTTACATACAGTGCCGGTTTATCCACTGGGCGCTTGGGGCGAGAACCCAGGGGCCTGAGGCTCGAATGTTCCTGAAGGGGCCGGATAAGCTGATATTTCGATCCTCCAGCGCCAAGGGGACCCGAAGATCTTCTGTGCCCAGGGCCCGAAATGAGTTTAAACCGGCGCTGTTTACATACTACTAAACTAATCACAGTATTTTCTCTCATGTTGAAACATATTGAATGGTATATTCGTTATTAATATATTATTACATTTCCTACACATTTATTATAACACAATTTTTCATCATCATTTGTAGGAAAGATTATATGTTATACTTAAAATCAGATATGCGCTCAAATATATATTTCATCTTAATATGACATATTTTACTTTTTGCTTATATTTCACTTGCTATAAATGAATCCCGAAAGACTAAAATTTATTTGCTAGAGAAACGAGAATAATTTTAAGCGTTAGTTGTTTTTTCTTAATTTTTTATATCGAATTAATTTTCCTTAGAATAACTTTTTTATGTTTATGAGCAACTATATCAATAGAAACTATAATTTTCCAAAAAATTGGCATAATAACATAAAATTTACTTTTAAAATTCTTTCATATTAAGAAAAAAGTAGTAGTTTTTTTAAAAAAATAATTTTTTCTGTAATTTACCTACTGCCGTTATATAATTATAATACAAAAGAAAACAGCTGCTATAAACGCAATAAAAAATGTTTAAAAAACATCTGGCACAACAAATTGTTTTGAAAAAAAATGCTTAAAGTCCCATATTTGCTGAAGCATACATTTTGGCAGTCATTTGTCAAACTCCACATCCGAACCAGTGTGATTTTATGTTCTGAGGGTAGCTGGCATCTATCGATATATTCTGATTGTTGAATCTCCAGTAGAGTTCGTCTTTGAAAAAGTATGTTTTTCCTGGGAATTAAATAAAATTATCATTACCCACAAATAATTCAAATAAGTGCTAAAGTAAAATTAAAAGAGTATATAAAAATATATAGTTCTTAAGCATTTGAATTTATTTAGTAATCTGAATTATAAAATAGTATAACTCTAAATATACTGAAATGCAGAATACAGAAATATATTTTTACAGAGTGAAATTTTAGAAATAACTGTGAGTTTCTCTCAAAGTTATGAGATAACACGACGATATTTATGCAAAGCAAAGTGTAAATAATTTATTCTAATATTTTTGATAATTTAAAATCACGTGACAAACTAATTATTCAAATAACAATATATCGGAACAAATACTTTCTAACATTTAATTCATATTACGTAAATGTAAGTTATATGATTTAGTTTTAATTAAGGAGACAGAACAAATTAAATGCAAAAATTAGTTTATTAATCGAACGAAATAGCTTGTATCATATATGTATGTAAAAATATTTAGCAAATACTAACGAAAAATACATTTCGAAACATTTTATTTATTAATTGTGACATTTAGGGATTTCATATATCAATTTGCAATCAATTTATAGTGGTTATCAATTTTTTTTAATTCCTTCTATGTTCTTTCATAAGCATAAATCAGTTTTTCCTAATGATTCCACGAAAAAAAAGTTTACGACAGACATTCAAATTAAATGCACTTTCAACGAAGAAATAAATGTAATAAATAGAATTTTATTTGTTTCATTGTATGTTCACTAATGTCGCGTCCTGAAGCAACTCGAGGGCTATTGGTGATGGGTCTCGAAATTTGAACCTCAATCAAATAACGAGAACGATACTTGAGCTCTTTCAATCCACTTTCGAAACTTCCACATCACTTCAACATGAGAACATTAAGTCTCAACAGATTTAACGTGCATTAACCCGTGTACATGGCTAATCCTTGTGGCACCTGGACTCGTCCGCACAACTTAGCAGAAGCAATGCCGATTTCAAATTAACGACCAAGAAGAGAATATTTTCTCCAATTTTGGAATAAATATTGATTTCTAATTCAGGCTTTGACAAACTGTTAAAAGGAACAAGTATTACAAAAAAAATTTTTTTTAGTAAATTCCTACTAAGGTCAACAAAGAAAAATTTTATTGTAGTTACTTTTTATTAAATAGTTACAATTAATATAAATATGTATATATTTAGGACAGAATCACACTATTAAGTGGCAAAATAGAAAGCGATTTTCCTTACAGTTTTCATTTTCCTTTCTATATAGGGATATTTCTATATTTTTGCTCTTACTATTTATTCATTAATTATATATAAATTTAATTAATCCAATAAAATAGTATAGTAAAAAAGAAATCACATTCTCAGAAATTAGGCCATCCCAAGTGGGATTCCAATCCATGACCTTTGGATTAGAAGTCCAACGCGTTATTCTTTGCGCTACAGGGACACAAAGGACGATTTTCCTTTCTATATATGGAGTTGGACTCTTATTTTTGTTTGTTCCTATTTATTCATTTTTTAATTTAATTAATGAATTACTATTTGAAAAAATTGTATTAACCTCAAGGGTCATCCTCTACAAGTTTAAAAAAATGTATTGGAACTTGAATGGATGAATAGAAAGTATTTTATTAACGTTGAATAATGAATTTACGTACCATCTCTCCATGTAAAGGCTGTATCGATGTTAGGCACCAGTCCTCTCCATCGTGTCATCCTTTGAGGATATCCCCGTTCCATTACCTTGTTCCTATCATCATACCGCCAGTACTGGTCACCTCTGAAGAAGTAGGTCCTTCCGTTTTTAGCCCAAACAAAAGCTGCGTCTAGTTTGTCCAGATCAGGAGGCAAGCCCAGATCGGTCAGTGGTCGAGGACTGTCCTGAGTAAAACGATCCCCATCGAAGGTCCAGTACTGTTGACCTGTTGCACATCCATAATATAAGTAGGTATAAAGAACAAATTAAAGCACTAAAACAATGGACAATGGTAGCGACTGAGAATTAAAAGGGAAAAGAGAAGAAAAATGCATTCACAAGAAAGAGTAAATCTAAGCCGTGCCAAACAAGTAGAGGACAACGAAATTTAAAAGTTTATCTACAAACTGTTAAGCTTTCAATGTTTTCTGATTGAGCTTGGACCGAGGTGTAAAGGTTGACAATTGATCAGCTTCAATTAATAGTTTTATTTTTGAAATATTTATTACTGATACACAAAATAATTTTTAATAAGGGAACAATTCGCGAGTTTCAATTATTTGTTGTAATGCAGTAGAAATTGGATAGCCGTGTGACGACGAGTTTACTTACTTTGCTGCAATGTGTGGTATTTATTGTATATTTTCTCCAGTTAATATTTCTAATGATTAAAGAGATGAAAATGAAAGATAATAGGTGATATAAAATGGCAGGGTTTGGGTAAATTGCTTTTTTAAAGAGAAATATACTTTTGAAACGCTTTTATTTACGCCTAAAGACACTTTTATGAATAAAATAATAGGGATTAGTTCAGTGCTTCTCAAACTTTCACTATTGGCGACCCAATATTCAATCATAATTTTCATCGTGCCCCCCCTCCATACAATACCAATGTATTGAATTCAATAATGCTATACTTCGATGCTACAACTACAGTACGATTTAAACCTCTTAAGTGCCACCGACGTATATAAACGTCTCGCTCAGCCAAAGCATTATTCCCCCGGACGTATATATACGTCTTTACGAAGTATGATCTTTTATGAGCACTGCTATCCATAAAATTATTCCCGAAGGCTTCGGAATGCATTAAAAGGACCTGGACAGAGTGATTTAGAAGATTTCCTTATTTCAGAGGATTTGCTTTTTTATTTCTCCCCCCTCCCTCCGCCAATGCATCACATGCGCACGCCTACGTGGAAAACGGTGGCATTGGGAACTGCATAGCGTAACTTTCAATCGTCAGTTAAAGAGAATTAATTATAAACTGTACATATTATCAAGATAAGTGTTAATTTTTGTGTATAATTTTATATATGACAAGGCTGGAGTCACTGGTAATTCTTAAATTTGCTCTTAACTTAGTATTGTTAAATTTATCAGAAAACACATTGTGCAGTGCTGATACATTTTAAGTGTATTATATCAGTGTAAATGTCTATACTATTTTTTTTATGTCAGAATGTATTTTGTTTGTTTACACTTTTAGTAAATTAATAACTTTTTAAAATAATCTTTTGTTTTCGACCTTTCAATAGGCTGGCGCCCCCCTCGTAGAGTTATCCCGCCCCCACAGTTTGAGAAACGCTGGATTAGTTCGATATGGATACATAAATCTGCTTTTTCACTCATTCAGAAGATACGTATTCAGCTAATAGTCCCGGGTACTAACCTGTGAAGAAAAGAATGTTGTAGTCAAAAGGTCGCTGGTAGACAGCATCTATAGATTGAATAGATCTCGGTAATCCGGTGAAGAAGACATGAAAGTCTACAGGATAGCCTGGTACTCTTTCATCCCGTTCACGAAGGCGCCACATATACTGAAATGAATAACTAATTAGGCCAGCAGTAATTAATAACTACCGAAATCTTCTTTATAAATCATGTACAAAATAAGTGAAATTATTACACAAAGTCGACGTTATAACGTAAGTACCAATATTTGTTATTACAAAATATAAATGGGATTAAGGCTGCTTTGAAATTTGAATGAATTGTTGCGAACTTTGAGAAACGATTTTTTAAAATAGTGTAAATAATTTATATCTATAGAGGTGTAATACATTTATATGTTGATTTATTTTATGTTAAAATTGTAATATTTACAAGCAATGCCGTTTCTTACATTATAATGGCGATTCAATGGAATCTTGGCGATAAAGCCAAGTTTGCATCATTTTTGGCGAATTCGCGACCCTATGGATCCTTCTGGAAATAAGTGGAGAAATATACTAATCTTACCATCTATGACGCTAGCGGAGTTTTCTCGAAAAATCCGTGAGGCCTATAAGTAGGGAGTCGCTCGTCGAAACTGAGTCTAGTATTAATTTGACCGTGAAGAGAGTCGACCAGTGATTAGTTATTACTTCGGCTGTTGTGTATGACGAGCGATTGCTTACGAGTAATCTTTTACATACTTACATACATTTTTTACATACATACTTTTTACATACATTATTTTAGACACTGATAGTTGAGTCTGAACGCCGTAGAAGGTGTGAAGGCTTTCTGAGATTTACTCAGCGAATTTGAGTACTTTATCCTGCATTTCAAGGATTGTTTTTCGACAATAAATTTTTATCACTCCTGAAGAACAGTCTTGCTCTTTGCGACTGATTTGCATAAAATCCTGAAACCCCGATCAATGAAACAGTATATTTAAGTGATTTATATTTCATTGTTTCCTCATTACAAAAAACATTTTTGTTAACATTAAACATTGTTGCTAAAGGATTCGGTTAAAATGCTTAAAGAAATGGAATTACCGGTCCTTTGAAAACGAAGAGCTCATTCCTGAACAAAGAGGCCGCGTCTAATGATCCTTCACAAAGATCAGAAGGTGGTATTGGAGAAGTTCTTTTGACAACGGGAGTAGTTGTTATCCTGGGAAACGCTGTCGTTGTCTCCGGTCTTTTTCCTGCACCTAAGAAAAAAGCAATAATAATACTAATTGAACTAAAACAATCTTTCATGCAATAACTTTGCACCATCTGAAGTAAATCTAATCTAGTTCAGATTCAAAGATTTAGAAAAATAAATTGTAATTTCATGATTTAAAGTAGTACATATATGTTTCTATATATTGTGGCATAGTGATCCCTTAAAATTACTTCATGACATAGTATCGTGAGGAATCACATCGCTTTCAGCCCAAAAGGAATTTTTTTCGATTAAAAAAATAAAACAGTAGATTTATTATTAATTTGTCAAAGTTCACATATTTCCTCTGAAGAAAAATTTTAGTTCCAAGCCCGATTGTTCATGCCGTTGCTCCTCCAACTCCGGCACTCTGTCTTTCAAAAGTCAGCTATATTTATCTTCTTTGGTCCTTGTGGTTTGGCTGCCCCCACAAATTCTAAGCTGAAGAGCAAAGTAATTCTGTAAATTGAAGGAGATCAAGAGCTTTCCGTCAACTTTCGAGCCAACCCCTTAGACTCCCAGGGCGGACTACTTTCATGCCCTCAATCACCTCTGATTGGCGAATGTAACAGATATGTACATGGCTCTCCTCACTTTAGTCCCACTCCATTTGTGCTTGGAGACAATAGGCCAGCACGTCTGATTCCAACTCCGACACCGTATCTGTTCACCATTTGAAGGGCTGTAAATTGCCTTGTCACATTGACACCGAGGGTGTGTCTTTGTCACGACAGGCCAACATTCTTCTTCATTCAAGTCGTGTGTGGCCCAAATGTGCGAAGGGAACCCAACACAATAGATACTGTTGACCGAAGCTTCCTTCCTTTTCAAAGTCGAGGCTAAAAATCGTCTGGATGTCGGAGAAAGAAAAGGCGTGGAGATATCAAAGCCGTTTTCCGAATCGGCTCACAAATGTTATCTTCTTAGCATGTGCAAAAAACAGTCGGTCTTTTTCGGACGATATAATGTCCCATCTAGACATCTTGGTCACCTCGTGCGTCAACCTTAACTAGTAATGTCGGGGAGTGTTCTACTAATGTACTGACATTACAACATATATATCAGTGTGTAAAATTCTATTTTAGCTACACTTCTAAAGTAAAAGAAAAACAAATTGTCTTAAATTGCGCCAGCAGCTCCTTTTTCTGTATAGGACTCTTCATTATGAAAATTACTCACCAAGTTAGCGGTAAATGAAGGTGCGGGCTAAAATAGGATCCAACTATATCGGTGTATCAAGGTAATTATATTGATAAAACAATGCCTTTTTTATTTTTAAATTCTTTCTTTTTGCAACTTGAGTATATAATTTATTGTGATGAGAGTATAACGTTTTTGTCCCCTTTATTTATATTATTTATTGCTGCTTATGCACATTTTTGTTTTAAGAAAAATGAATCTTGAACAAGAAAAAAACTCGGTTAAAAATAAAACTTTTCACTTCAGTTTTTTTAAATGTTTCTTTTAAACCATTGTTTGTAAATTAACCCAAAAGTTCGATTTCAAGGTCTTTTGCAAAATGATTTTTTTATCGATTTTCACAATTTTTTTTCCTTTTACATAAATATGAATTTTTTTCCCTTAATTCTAATTTAAAAAAATAAGCATGGAATGAGAGTAAGAAACAAAACTTGAGCTTTTAATTAAAAATTAAGAATGATAAGGTAGATATATATAAATAAAAGGTTCATCTCTGAATCTGGTGGTTTGATTGATTATTAAGTTGCACTTAGAAACAGCCCGAGGCTTTTAGAGACATACCTCGTAATTTTGAATCATAACCAAGTGAGACATGCATCTGAGTTTCCAACTCATTTTTCAAATTTGCACAA